GTGTGTGTGTGTGTGTGTGTGTGTGTGTGTGTGTGTGTGTGTGTGTGTGTGCCTGTGTGCCTGTGTGTGTGTGACTGTGTGTGTGTGCGCGTTCGTGCGTGTGTGTGTGCGCACGTGCGTGTGTGTGTGTCTGTGTGTCCGCACGTATGCGTGCGCGCGCGCGTGTGTGTGTGCGTTGTCGGGGAGCGTGCACGATAAGCCGTTTCAGCGACGTTTTACTGAATGTTTTACTCAGCGCATTATTTTTGCCGTTTGTTATTCAGGCGCGTGTGGCACGATCGTTCGGACAATTCCCATGGTAATTTAATGAATGTATAAACATTTAATAACGAAACTGCTCGACTGCGTCAGCATGCGAAAGTATCGCCCCGGCCCCGTAAAACTATCCGACTGAGCACGTTACAACGTTCTCTTTTCTTTTCACCCTCTCTCGATCTTAGCTTTCTACTAGATTCACACCCATCCGTCACCGTACCGTATCGTATCTTATTCAGCCAGGCAAGGTAGAGACTAGAAGCACGAAAGCTGGTCTTATTTACTCTCGTGACACAATTGCAAAGCCTTCTCCGAGGCACGTTACGGTCAGACCATGGAGTACCGTAATAATGAGTGGGCTGAACATAATTCAGACAGCAGTCAGTATACGCACTCTCCACTCGCTACAGGCAGACCATAGTTAGCCTTACAGTACTATAGGTGAGTGGATTGAAACTAACATCCTCGTATATATTCACTCTCCACTCGCTACAGTTAGACCATATATATAGTTGGACTGTCAGTACTATAGGTGAGTGGATTGACTATGGTTAACTATGGTTTTCACGTAATACGCTGTCGGTAAACACACGGCGCGAAGATTGGCATATCATAACTACATACGTATTCGGTTCTTGCTATACCATATAACATATTCTGCCCTGTAGAGGAATGAGCAATCCACCCTGTATTCGCACCCCACCTGTATATCATTGATGATCAAATCAAGAGTAAATAATAAGGTAGATACAATCATGTAACCTAACAGAGTAAGTCTGTTGTTTTATTGTATTTAATAATAAGGTAGTATGACACCCCCAGAACATAGGAAAATCTACACTTACTAACCACGCTCTGCCTATTATACCTGTAGATTATATAGCAAACACACACGATGATATATCGCGTACAAGTAAATAAAGATTAAAGTTAATTAAAATAAGCTAATAAAGTTATTAGTCTCGTTTATAGAATCTGTTAGAGAATAAGTAATCTGTTGTTTATTCCCAAACAAATCTATATTAAAGCTGAATTAAAAGCCCCGGATGGCGTGACCCCGGCAAATTCGCCGGTTAAATCTACCATAGTTATGCCCTCGATGTCGCCGTATAGCCACGTATTATCAGAGCGCGGGCGTCACGTTATATAGCTATATTGTGTTTCTCTATAGCCCTGGTTGCCAGGTACCTTTCACACTCTCGGAAAATATGTTATTGTATAGCGAAGTCAGGTACGCGACCGCGCGGCTTGTTTCTAAGCAACCGCTCTCCGATCGAGCATTCCCCAAGGTTTCATTGAATGCGAATCACATTCAGCAATCGATCAATCAGATTCGTGCGCGCGCGTGTGCGTGTGTGTGTGTGTGTGTGTGTGTGTGTGTGTGTGTGTGTGTGTGTGTGTGTGTGTGTGTGTGTGTGTGCGTGCGTGCGTGCGTGTTCGAGAGAGAGAGGCACACGAGAGAGAGACAGAGAGACAGAGAGAGAGAGAGAGAAAGGAAGACAGGAAGAGAGAGAAGCGAGGGACCGCAGAGAAGGAGAGAGCAGACAGACATGCCAGACAGCAGCCAGCCAGACAGGACAGAAGACAGCCAGACAGAGCAAACATACAGACAGACAGACAGACAGATAGACAGACAGACAGACAGACAGACAGACTAGATAAGACAGCAACAGAAGATAGACAGACAGACAGATAGACAGACAGACAGACAGACAGACAGACAGACATAAAAACAACGACAGACAAGAACAGACAGAGAGAGAGATGAGAGAGAGAGAGAGAGAGAAGAGAAAAGCAGGAGAGAGGAGAGAAGACAGACAGACACCGAGAGAGAGAGAAAGAGCAGACAGATAGCCAGAGAGAGAGAGAGAGAGAGAGAAGAGAGAAGAGTGAGAGAGAGAGAGAGCAGAGAGAGAGAGAGAGAGAGAGAGAGGCGAGAGCGAGAGGGCGAAGAGAGAGCGCTAAGGAGAGAGAGCGAGCGCGTGAGCGAGAGAGAGAAAGAGAAGAGAGAGCGAGAGAGAGAGAGAAAGAGAGAGAGAGAGAGAGGAGAGAGAGCGAAAGAGAGAGAGACAGCAGAGAAGAGAGAGTAGGAAGAGAATGCGAGAGAGAGAGAGACAGAGAGACAGATCAATGAAGGCAGGTTGACTCGTTATGGTTAACCCTTTACTCACAACCTCGTTTTCAACTCCTTTTACGAATAGAAAGGGCGTGGTGGCAACCTCGTGGTGCTGCATTCATCATACCGAGGAACGATCGTTAGATGTTACATCTCTCAGATGTGAAATAAAGTATTCAGGGGGTCGTACATCGTCACAGTTCCTTTACTATGAAGAATAATGTCCGATACGAGGTGACGGACGAGGTGTCGCTCTCATGCATTCAGTTCCTTCGATCACGTTAGCTAGAATACCGAGGATATAACAGGGGAAGGGGGGGGGTTGACACTGAAAATATATACGAATTTTAATTGTCACATTTATTCGCTTACCAATTTGATGTGATTTGTTCGTCTGTTTACATACAGCAGATGTTATCCAGTATTTATTCAGTGTGTATTATAATGCTATTTATCGAGTGTCATAAGGAACAGCAAAAATACATGCATTCGAATTTAGCGAAACTACCGCTCTGAACCTATCAACCCACCTCGTGACCAAGCACCTAACAACAATGGTGTCTCATACACACACTGTATTCAGACGACCGAACGTCTCACATGAAATACTCTATAAAAATCTGTAGTAATATATAGTCTTACATATTATCAGGAGTGTATCAAAATCATTTTGATACACTCCTGATATTATAAAGGTGTAATATTACTAATTACATCATCTTGAAATTTACCGAGAACAATGGTGTTGTAAGCTATAAGGCGACAATTGAATAGTAGAAATCTACTGCTAGAATCTGCATGCTGTGAATATCATGAAACTTCACCCTGCCCTAGAGTTTCAACAAATACTGCACGAAAGCGGACATGCTAAGGCAGTAGCTGCTGCTGCTGCTAGCGTCTTGTTAAACCTACAGCAGTAACTGAGGTTACTGAGATTACTGAGGCGGCTGTAGTCAATATCGCTTAGCAATTGCAGAGACACGCAAACGCACACACGCCCACATGAACAAAAACACGTACGTACGAACACGCACACAGTCACACACACAAATGCAACGATTCGAATGCAAGCAAACGCGCTCACGCAAACGCGCTCACGCAAACGCACTCACGCATAAGCGCGCGCACGCAGTGTCAGAATTTCCTAGATCCCTGTCGTAACACCATCTGACATTTACACGGTTATAACCGGCACGTCATCACGTCTAACCACTGCATATATGGATATATTACGAATACGCATTTACATCTTTCCTCCTCGGTTCCCTATTACCCTAACCCTAACCCTAACCCTAACCTTAACTCTAACACTAACCCAAACACAATACCTAATGGGCCTAATACTAACCAGCCTTAGACTAACCAACCTATATCTAACCCCAACTCTACCCCTAACCCTAACACAATCACTAAACCTAACCAGACCTATTCAACCTTTAGTCTACTCATAACCCTAACGCAATCCCTAAACATAACCAACCTGGATCATAACCAGAGCTAACTAATCCCTATCCCTTGTCGTACCTTTACCCTAACCTAACCCTGATACTAATCCTAACGCTTACACTAACCCGAACCTAACCTCATTCCTAACCCACTAAACCTAACCTAACAGATACAAGCAATGGCCCTAACCAGCTGGCCCTAACCATAACTAGACCTATGTATAGCCCTACCATCTACTATACGCTTACCCTACCCTTACTCAACCCCCAACCATAATCCTAATAGTAACAAATCCTATACACTACGTCTATCTCTAATCTAATCCTATTCTTAACAAACTAAACCTTTAACCTATAACCCCATCCCTAACAAATTAAACCTAACTTAACCCCATTCCTAACAAATTAAACCTAACCTAACACTATTCCTAACAAACTAAACCTAACTTAATCTTATTCCTAACAAACTAAACCAAACCTAACTCTATTCCTAACAAACTATCCCTAACCTAACCCTATTCTTAATAAACTATCCCTAACCTAACCCTATTCCTAACATATTAAACCTAACCTAACCCTATTCCTAACAAACTAAACCTAACCTACCCGTATTCCTAACCAATTAAACTTAACCTAACCCCCCTAACTTTAACTCTACCCTCGCCTAATCCTTTGCCATTTATTATGAACTGGAGGTTCTAAAGTAACCAAATAAATATAATTAATTCATAAACAAACAAGCTAATAAATAAATAATTAAACAAATAAACAATTAAATGAATGAATGAGTGATTTTCAGGCCTCGAGTCTAGACTGGACTACCTGAGTGATGACCTAGCAGTCGACGCCATCTACCTGGACTCTCTCTATGATGGGGAGACTAGTTCCAGTCTAAGCGTGGTTGACCACGCGAAGATAGCGCCCATCTACGGACACGTCACCGATTTCGAGCGAATCATCGAGAAAGCCCACGCTAAAGGTGCGCGCCCATGTACCATAGTAGATGTCCCCCCCCCAAAGAAAGCATCCCCCAGATAACGACAGTGATTACGACGTGAATTATTTACGGCGTTAATAATGATGACGACAACAATTAATGATGTTGATAATGACGAAGGATGGACAACGTTATGGATAATGACAAGAGCAACAATGAGCAGTGTTGATAAAGATGATAAAGATGATAATGATGATAAAAACGATGAAAACAACGACAACGATGATGCGACAATAATGACGATGACAGCCCGTTACTCTCAACTATATTATATTATATATATATATCATATATATATAAACTCTAATACCCTGATACAGCTACAGCTACTCTCGATATCTCCCCGCCCTGCCAGGTCTCCGTGTCCTCTTGGACTTCATCCCCACGCACACCAGCTACCGACACGCGTGGTTCCAAGCGGCGCTCGAGCGTGACGCCAAGTACTCCAACTACTACGTGTGGACGGAGCGCGAGGTGCGGGGCGCGGCGGCGGCGCGCGAGTGGCAGACGGACGCGAAGAGAGGCGACCGCTACCACTACACGTTCAACAAGTACCTGCCCGACCTCAACCTGGGCAACGCCAACGTGCAGCAGGAGATGGTGGTAGGTAACCGACGCTGATGCTGATGCCGATGCTGATGCTGATGCTGATTCTGATCCTGACACTGACAATAAGCCTAATTCTGATCCTGACACTGACAATAAGCCTAACTCTGATCCTGAAACTGACAATAACACTGACACTAAAGCTGGGTTCACACTACAGAGTTTGTGTTGGCAATATGGCGAATTGGACCAACTTCCCAACTACACAACCAACAATCGGCAGTGTAAACGCAAAAGTTGCCTGACCAACCGATCGATACCGACTGGTTAGGAGATTAGAACATTCTAATAACGTTCTATTTTTGCCAACTCGGAGTTGCCGAATTGCGAAATTGGTCCAACTCGCCAATTCGTCAACATAAAGTCGGTAGTGTAAACCCAGCTTAATCCTGTCCTTAAACCTGATCCTGATACCGGCGCTGATGCACTGACCTTTAAAGACAGGTAGCATAAACGATGCGATGTGTATGGCACTCAGTTATGCCGCTCTGAACGTATTCCGGAATAAACCGAGTCTCTTATTTCAGGGGATTCTACGCTACTGGTTAGACAAAGGTGTGGATGGGTTTATCGTTCGCAATCCGCGTTATATTCGAGACCTCACAGACCTGGGCATATCAACCACGACGACGGTGAGTCTACACCCAACACTGTCTATAGTAAACCAACGTTATAGACTCACAGCTTAGCCTGGCAGGCAGGGGGCGATGGTAGATAGAGACTCTCTCTTCTCTGGCGACGGCGTTTTCGGTAGATTATGTAGATAGTTGGTATAAAGATTTTTATGGTTGGTCAGCAAGGCAAAACTGCTAATAGAATTAGTTATAAACCAGGGGCCTGTTGTCAGAAACAAAATAAGTTTTAAGAGTTTCTGTAGACCGGACCTCAATACACTGCGTATGAGTAACTTTACCATGTTCTATCGACAGTCGATGACGAAAAGTTAACATTAAGACCAATTTTCTATTTGACAACAGGGCCATGTGCTGTAACTAATTAATTAGCGGTTTGCTTCACTGAAAAATCAAAGAAAATCATGGACTTTACTTCCCCGTAATATAGTCACAAGTTCGTCGAAGATGGCCGAGTATAAATCTATATAGGCGTGTTTCATGAATCGGTTAATTTCAATACAAATATACCACCCACAGCTTCCGCGGTGCACGCACGACGCACCACACCTGCTATGCAACAACCACAACAATAATAACATTAACACTTAACTATTACACGTCACAGCTAGCTATAATAGCCTCCACAATACTACAGACATATGTTACACACGAATGCACGCGCACGCACGCACGCACGCACGCACGCACACACATAATATATACCTTTATGTTCACAATAGCTGGAGTCGCTAATCAACCCCATTTAGGCTTTCGTAGCAGTTCACAACTTTTTACCCGCCCCGGAAGGGCGTACGTTCAGGTTTGTATAGCTGGTGTGTATGTGGAGGAAAGGCGTTTCTGGGTGAAGTCGAGAATAGAGAACGTTGCAGCTTTTGTGTGAAACGTTTGATACAGCTATACACGCGGTAGCACATGCGAACGTAACATAACATAAATCAGCATCTGTAATCATCCCAAAAGCCCTCATTTGAGACCCCTCTCTCAAATAACCTCACCCCCCCCCCCAATAACACCCACCCTCCCACCAACCCGCACACTACAGCTCACTATAACTATGCACGTTGACTGAGTGCTTTGCCCCTCCCTCATCATTACTTAGCTGAGCCACGCCGAATCAGAGTCCCTGAAATTTTGCTACCGCCCCCCCCCGCCTTCCTCTAGCAATTTTCTCTCCAGCTTGCCAACGTGGTTTATCTGTGGTCGCATGAAGCTCATTTTGACATCATCAGTTTCTATGATCAATTGATTTTCTCACCCGGTCGTTATCATGCTGTCACCCAGCAAGCGGCGACAATAGACCAATTAACCACCACTGAAGTTTACTCTCTCGCTAACAGCTATCATACAGCTATCTTCATGTACGCACATGCAGAGGGACCGCAAGCCTCAAAGAGATAGAGGAGTGGGAGTGGGAGTGGGAGGAGTGGGAGTGGGAGTGGGAGAGGGAGAGAGGCGAGAGGGAGAGGGAGAGGGAGAGGGAGAGGAGGAGCGGAGAGGGAGAGGGAGAGGGAGAGGGAGAGGAGAGGGATGAGGGAGAGGGAGAGGGAGAGGAGGGGAGGGAGATGGAGAGGGAGAGGGAGGAGGGAGAGGGAGAAGGAGAGGGAAGAGGGAGAGGGAGAGGGAGAGGGAGAGGGAGAGAACGCAGAGAGCGAAAGAGAGAGAGAGAGGGGAGGATACAGAGAGAGGGAGAGGATACAGAGAGAGAGGGGGATACAAGGAGAGGGAGAGAGAGGGGGGCTACAGAGGGGGGGAGAGAGGGGATACAGGGGAGGGAGAGGGAGGGGATACAGGGAGAAGGAGAGGGAAGGAATACAAGAGAAGAGGACAGACAGAGAGGGGGATACAGAGAGAGTGGGGGAAGGGATACAGGAGAGAGAGAGAGAGAGGGAGAGGAGAGAGTGAGAGTGAGTGAGAGAGAGAGAGAGAGATACAGGGGAGAAGAGAGGGGGAGGGAGAGAAAAAGAGGAGGGAAAAGAGAGAGGGAGAGAGAGGGGGAGGGGGAGAGGAGAGATAGATAGATAGAGAGAGAGAGAGCTGGGATGCTGAGTGGCAACGGGAACGCCCCTGATTTTTAAAATGAGACGTAGTTCTAACCTAATGAATTGCAGACTAGGTTTTGTACGTGAGCTTTCAGTGATGGAATCTGTCTGACAGTTCTCGGTTATTGCAGACCGACACATATCAGCAGACTGCTTACACGCTGGTGAAGTCCTGGGCGAAGATACTGGATGAATACACGAAGAAGACTCCCAGAGAAAGGTGTGTGCAACCACGTAAATACACACATCAAGACCTAATAAAAATCAAGAGTGAATAATAATATATCTATTATTATTCACTTCTGATATACAATGTATAGAGATGTATATTATTAACTCTTTATACGCACGCACGCACACACATGCACGCGCACACACACACGCAAGCACGCACGCACACACACACGCACGCGCACACGCACGCACGCACGCACGCACGCACGCACGCACGCACGCACACATGTATTAAAAGCTAATAATACATTTCTCTACATATCACTACAAGATATGTTGCAGAATAAGCTTTATACTTTTATAGGGCTCATAGCCTAGTACACTGTATCTCTGTGTATATTAATCATATTACCTCTTGATACCCATACATTGCACGCACGCACACACACATGCACACACACACATACGCATGCACGCACGCACGCACACACGCACACACACATGCCCACACACACATGCACACACACACATACGCATGCCACGCACGCACGCACGCACGCACGCACGCACGCACCGCACACACACACACACACACACACACACACACACACACATCAGGGCCGTAGCCTGCGGGGGGCAAGGGGGGCAGCTGCCCCACCTAGATTTTGGAGCAAAATTTAAAAAATAAATTGTTCTACTAAAAGAGAATTGTCGTAGTCAGAATAAAGGCTGTACATGTACTCAAAAGTGCCTCAAGTACCTGCGATCTACATTTTCAAAATTTTCGGTGGGAGGACCCCCAGACCCCCACCTGTTTCTCACCCCCTCCTTGAAATCCTGGATCTGCCACTCCCCCCCTCCCTAGGAATTTTCTCAGCATATGGCCCTGCACATGCACACACACACACATACGCATGCACGCACGCACGCACGCACACACACAAAATAACATTACCTAGACATATCATAGCATTACTTTGTAAATTAAAGGCAACCCTGTGTTAGCGGTTACCTCTATAGAACCGACACCTATCCTTAAAGGACATTCTTAGATTTCTTCATTTCTGTTAATGGCAATTGTACAGTGAAGCCCCAACACAACAAACTCTACAGAACCAACTCTACAGAAGGGCAACCTGTCTATAAAGGACATGTATGGCATTTTCATTGAGTCACACAGTGAAGCCACCTCTATAGAACGACCACCTGTCTATAAAGGGCATTTTTGGCATTTTCCTCTAGTCACACAGTGAAGCCCCCTCTATGGAACGATCAACCCCCCGGCCGGTAAAGGGGGTCACACTGCAGGGTAGAAAATACACGGGAGCGATGAGCGATTCGCTCGTCAAACCTCTGAAATTGCTCCCGTGTGGCTCAAAATAGCTCCCGTAAAATTTTTGACAAGAGCTATTTTTTCCACCGACTTCAAAAAGAGCTCCCGTGAAAAAAAAGTTATTTTTTCCCTGTCACACTGACGTGCATGTGTTCTCTTTGCGCAGAATTCTCATTGTCGAGGGAGGCAACGACACGCAGAAGGACGCCATGTTTCTCCGGGCGTCAGTCAAGGCGTCGGCCGGGGCGTCGGTCGGGGCGTCCGCAGTGCTCTACAAGCAGCTCGTCACCTCGCTCACGTACGACTGCCGCGCCACCTGCATCGTCGACGCCGTCCACCACTGGCAGCGCCACACGGTGGCGGCCGCGGTTCGCGTCGGCTGGCAGGTATACCGGACGGTCGTACCGTACAGTACACGATATCAGTATTATTGTTATTAGTGTTACGTTGTAACGTGTTACGTAATTACGTGGTATATAGTTCGCGCATATCACAAACTAAAGTATTTAGGCTTGGGCCATCTTAACTAGTAGTATATAAATCTTTGTATGGAATTAATACTACTATTATAGAAAACTATACTTAATATTATATATAATAAATATATTATAAGCGCGTGCGTGCGTGTGTGTGTGCGTGCACGTGTTTGTGTGTGTTTACCGCACGGCTTTACCTTACAGCTGAGCGACAGCTCACACGATCGTGCGGCTAAGAAACTCGGCAAGGAATACGCCAATGCTCTCAACATGCTGTTGCTGCTGCTACCTGGTGGCGCGGTTACATACTACGGAGAGGAAATAGCGATGGACGGGGTAAGCATACGCGTGAAGGACACGCCTGTTTACAGCCTCGTAGGGTGCCCACGTTTGTTTCTCAGTTTCGTGATATGAGTAGCAAGAATGAATGAGTATTGTTTTTTGCAGAATTTATTTGCTGATACGGTTAGCAACAACGCCAGTCAGCTATATTATCAGTAGTTTCACTAAACACCTATTATTTATTAGCTATTTATTCGCTCTTGATTTTATCAGTAGTTTCACTAAACGTTTTTTTTCGGAATTCTACATAGCGTAAATCATGGTGTATTCACCATCAATTCAGGCAAAACAATCATCAACCTTACAGAAAAAAGTTCTCTCTATCTCTCTGTCTCTCTGCCTATCTGCTTCTCTGCCTCAGTCTCTTCCTCTCTGTCTCTCTGTCACTCTCTCGCTCTATCACTCTGTCACTCCATCACTCTGTCTCTCTGGCTCTCTCTCTCTCTCTGTCTCTCCATATATATATATATATATCTTCGCTGCATATATATATACAAATTATTTTTTCACATTATAATGAGATAATCATATTTTTCTTAATTAATATTTATCTATTGACGCACTGATATATGGAACTATTTATTTAACGCATCTACGGGGTTTCTTGCGCATCCACAGAGAACGAGAGCGCCCATGCACTGGGAGAACGCACGGCCTGGCGGAGGCTTCACTAACGTGTCCCGCTCGTGGCTGCCGCTTGGTGACCTCAAACGCAACGTCAAGGTCAGTTCACGGTCACGGCTAGCCATACGTCACTGCACACGTAAAACCATAGCGTAAATATGTAAAGCGTGGTGTGTGTGTGGTGTGTGTGTGTGTGTGTGTGTGTGTGTGTGTGTGTGTGTGTGTGCGTGTGTGTGTGCGTGCGTGCTTGCGTACATGCGTGCATGTGTGCGGGTGCATGTGCCTGCACAGGCGTGCATCACTATCAGTGAATTGACTGAAACTAATTAAGTGAGAAGTTCTGTAGGAAATAACTTTACGACATGCTCCCGCTTTGATGTTTATGGGGAAAGCGCAGTGGCATGCACGATAGGGGACTACAACTTATTGCATCTCGTGGCGCACTTTGCAGGAGCAACTGCACGACAAGGAATCACAGATGGGAATCTACAAGCAGTTGTGTGCGCTGCGCAAAGACCCTGCGTTCCACACCGCCAACATAACTGTGGGCCACGTCAAAGACACCTCCCTACTTTACTTCGCCCGCGTGCCAAAAGATGGCGCCAGCTACCTGGTGGTGATCAACCTGGGTGAGACGCGCGCGAGCCTAGATGGGGAGGTGAAGGCGAACGGACCCGTGGTTCTACACACCGGTCAGTTCAAGATCGGACAGAAGCTGAGCACGGCCTCTCTCGCGCTCGATTCCGGACAGGGAGTGGTCATCAGAATGTGAGAGAGTGTAATCTTAGTTCCAAGTCTGCGCCTTACAATAGTAGAGCAACCACATATCCGTGTATTCCCAAGAGTGATGAATGATGAAATTTAAATGAGTAGGCAGGCCTTCGTTAGTTTGAGGGGAATTTAGAATGATCGTGCGTTGTCAGTGTGCATGGTAAGTGTAAACGCAGCATATTAATGTGTCGTGTAGATAGTAATTTATGGGGTGTGATAGATTAGCCGCTATAAGAAGGAAATTACGTCACGGTTAATATATATTTGGCCATAAATACTTTTGCACATTCAGAGACGGACGCACAATACATTTAATGCCACATCAAATTAATTTAAGTTTACATTTATATCATGATGTTTGTAATTTCAAAATACTAATATCTAGAATTGTTGCTTTGGCTCAGATAAATTTACAGAAGAATTTGTTTAGATAAATAAACACTATCAACGAATGGAAATACTAGTGCACGATAGCAATAATAAATGAATGGACCTACCAATAATATGTATATATGTATCAGTAGATGGCATAATGTATTTGATTATAAATGCACTACCAGAGTAAACGTTTTTTTACTACTTTCAACATGTTCTTGCAACATGATATGTTACTACGTTTTTAATTGAATTATTATTAAAAATATTATAATTTTGTTCAATGTTTTTTCGGTCTCCCCACGCCATCTG